CCACACTAGTGTGGAAAAAGCTCATTTTAATAAAAGCTTACAAAAATTTGTGTATTTCGAAGTGTATTTTCAAAAGGGCTCACTGAAACATAATGTGTTTCCAGACTGATTAAAAACACCTGTGTGCCCTTACTCTCAGAGGTTTTGTAAAAACAGCCAATCAGATTTAATCTTAGTACACTGAGAAAGTGCATCAGACGGTTAGTGCAAAAACTATGGACAGTTCGTAGTTTGAAGTGGAGACTAGGAGTTTGTTCAAACCTAAATCTTTTCAGGAACATGCATGATACCTCATAATGTTGCCCATTTTTCTAAATCCTCATATCTATTCCACAGAAAAAGCGCAGGTCTACTTTGAGAGTACAGAACAGAGTCAGATGACCCAGGATGAGAACTGGCAGATGAGAGTGCGTCATTTCTGTCATTTCATGCACGCCATCAACAGCACCCCCAGAAACATTGGCAAAGACGGGAAGTTTCAGATGCTTGTGTGTCTCGGAGCCAGGTTGGTCATTATTTACATTGAACTGTTGGCTATTTGAATTGAGTTTTGAGAACCAACATTTTTGGGGATCTCTAGAAATCACAATCCGATTCTAAAATGATCCTTGATCTACATTTTTCTTATTAATTAATGAGTTTACTGACTTGAACACAATTGCCCTTGTGTTTAGCTTCAAACATGAATCCTTACACAATTTTATATACTTGTTTGATGGTTTTGTGTGTTTGTTTGTGTGTAAATGGCAGTAAGCAGAATATGATTGTCTCTAGTGCACAATTCCATCGCATATATATGGAAAAAACTAACCTCAGAACTGATTCTGATTTTTTTCTAAATGATTGAAAAGAGAATCGTGATGCATTGGAGAATCTTTTTTTTTTTTTGTACTCTTTTGTCATATCTATCGGTCACATATGTGACCATGGACAACAAAACCAGTCATAAGGGTAATTTTTTTTTAATTGAGATCTATACATCATGAATAAATAAGCTTTCCATTGATGTATGGTTTGTTAGGATCGGACAATATTTGGCTGAGATACAACTATTTGAAAATCTGGAATCTGAGGGTGCAAAAAAATCAAAATACTGAGAAAATCGCCTTTAAAGTTGTCCAAATGAAGTTCTTAGCTATGCATATTACTAATCAAAAATTAAGTTTTGATATATTTACAGTAGGAAATTTACAAAATATCTTAATGGAACATGATCTTTACTTAATATCCTAATGATTTTTGGCATAAAAGAAAAATCGATAATTTTGACCCATACAATATTTTTTTGGCTATTGCTCAAAATATACCCAAGCGACTTAAGACTGGTTTTGTGGTCCAGGGTCACATATGTTGACACCCATCTTGTCTTTCTGCTTGCAGAGATCACCTGCTGCACCACTGGATCGCACTTCTTGCCGAGTGTCCAATCACAGCACAGATGTACGAGGACATGGCGCTCTTAAAGGACCATTCTCTGGTGAACTCTCTGATTCGAGTGCTACAGACTCTGCAGGAATTCATTATCACTCTGGAGGCCTCTCTCGTCAAAGGGATCGGGATATAATGCCGTCTGAATATAGAACTAACACACAGATCAGCGGGACCATGGACTAACTTTTTTTATATGGAGAGACTTGAACAAAAGGACTAAACCTGGCTTACGTTAAAGCTACTGTCATGTTTGCCATATATTAAGTGCAATGAGCCTTTTCAGACGTGTCATAATTTTTACGACATTCAAATAACGTTACTGACATTCAAATATGTCTTTTATTTTGATCCATACTTTTCACAAAAGGTGAAAACCTCCACCTGTGCTATACCGTTTTATTAAAAGCTCAATATTTTTCGTTGTTGTTGTTGTGGACTGCTGACAATGGCTATATTTAAAAGGAAAACATGTAAGAAAAGCTGTTATTATATTTTCAAAGAAGAACAGTGTTATTTTGATATGTGTCATGTTGCTTGCTCTGTTGCTCTAATCTAATCCATACTGTCACAATGCAGAGTTCGAAGCAAATGATTTAGAAGTATGCTTTATAAGTACAACTTGTGGGGAATTCATATTTTTACTTAAAAAAAAAAGATAGGAAAGATGAGAAAAATGGAAAAAGGCTCTTTTTTGTAACAATGCCAGGGGCTTGTGTCATTTCCCTCTAAATGCAAATCAGTTTAAAGGGACAGTTCACCCATAAATTACACTACTGTTCAAAAGTTTAAACTAATTAAGATTTTTTTTAAAGAGATCTCTTATGCTCATCAAGGCTAATTGAATATATTTACAAAAATGATAATAATAATAATAATAATAATGTATTCCTGTTCAAAGCTGAATTTTCAGCAGCAGTCATTACTTCAGTTTTCAGTCAGTGTCACATGATCCTTCAGAAATTCTAATATGCAAATGTTTTGCTCATTTATCAATTATTGATTTATATATATATATATATATATTTTTTGTCCCTAAAAAACTTTGAGATTCTTGTTCGGCAAACGGAGCAGGCCGTCGTGTTACACCTGTTTCACACATACTCAGTTTGCAGTGCGTATGTGGTGCGTGTTTTTTCCGCATCCATGTTAACAGATTAGAGCAGGGCTATATAATTAGCTCCATTTGAGGGCCGAATTATCAAACTGAAAATTTGAAGGGGGCCAAGGGGATGGGGGCCATCCCGATCTCTTTCTGGGGGGACCTATAAAATTAGAAATTAAATTGAAATCGGAAACATTAGTGCTGTCTATCAATCGATTAAAAAAAATAATTAATCACACATTTTTCTGTAATTAATCATGATTAATCGCATATTTATAGTTTTCAAATAAATGCTGTTCTTTTGAACTTTCTATTCATCATAAAATCCTGTAAAACAGATTTCCACAAAAATATTAAGCAGCAAAAATGTTTCCAACATAGATAATAATAAGAACCATTTTTAATAATTGAGCACTAATAATACTTGATAATAACTGAGCACTAAATCAGCATATTACAAAGATTTCTGAAGAATCACATGACACTGAAGACTGAAGTAATAATGTTCAAAAACATAAAAAAATTAATTATTCCAAACTTATCATTTACTCATCCTCATGCCATTCCAACCCCACTTTTTTCTCTTTTTTGTTCTTCCCCATATATGAATGGCGGCCACAAATGTTTCTTGTCCTGTCTTCTTTCAATAAATGGGAAAAGAGCAGCTTGGACCTTTGTCTAAATATCTCCTTTTGCTTTCCAAACAGGAAATGGGTGAACTGTCTTCTTGAGCTTATTGTGATCCCCTAAAATCAAATGAAAGTGATGCTCAAGCATATTTTACGAGATGGACTGTAAAAACGAAAAACGATCAATGCAGAAAGGATAACATTAACGTTTCACCTAATCCTTTCAAAGTACCGTAACATTCCCCATCTCTTCAGCCCTCAGGTCTCAACTGTGGCCAACTACAATGCCATCTGAAGTAGAATTAAATTGCAGCACAGTTGCTGTGTTTGTGTCCCTCTCCTTAGTTAAACCCCAGCATCCCCTCTGTTTCTGCTATGCAATATTTACAGCTCCAAAATTTTGTTATTGAATATTGATGAAATATCATTCACCTGTTTTAGAGTGTAGCATAATTTGTAGGACATAACTGGGAGAAGCACATTACAGGCTGATATTCATGTGCCAATTTCATCATGACTATTCTGGTACCTGTTCAAACACAGCTGGCATGAGCATTCTGGGAGTTATTTTTTCTTGTGTTTTATCTCTTGATACATTTATAGACAAAGCAGTGTAATGTAGTGTTAAATATTGAACAACTGTGTACAGTGTATAAAATGTATTAAAGGTGGCAATTCAATATGATTATGAAGTCTCGACTTTCAAGAGCAAAATCCGTTTGAAAATTTATATATATTTTTTTACAGTGCAATCAGTTACATTTATTTGAGTGTTTTAAATTAAATACTTGCATGTCTAATTACTAGTTTAAACAGCATTTTGCTCCTATTATGCATCAAGCTTTGTTTAATAGCCATATTAAGAGATTATATATATATATATATATATATTATAAAAATTAATGTAATAACACCGTTTTAAAAGGAACAAGTGAAAGCAAAAAGGGGACTGAAAATAAGGAAAAATTGGGTGCAAACTAAATAGACTCTTACATATTAAAGGGGTCATATGATGCGATTTCAAGTTTTCTGTTCTCTTTGGAGTGTTACAAGCTGGTTTTAAAAAAGCATCATATGACCCCTTTAATATACGTTTCAGATCTCTTATTGCTGGACCTTAAACGTATTACTTTCTGTAAATTAGAAATGTAAGCAACTTGAACTGTAGCAATGTGGAATTTAAAAAATATTTTTAAAATAAGAATGAGGTTCAAAGTTCGTGGACATTTTATGTGTCAAGTACCCATTTTAAGACTAATATCGCATATAGAAAGTGTATTATTTAACTAAATATACAGTATATTAATACCGCTTACAAAAAGGCGACTGCGACTCAATCATAATAAAATAACATTATCAGAAACATCACATTTAGGCGTGTTCGATCATTAAATAGCATACACTTTAAGCTAATATAAAAGATACAGTAGCGTATTTCAAGCATTCGAGCGACAATATTGTGGGAAAATGAGTCCATTCACTCGCATTCAAACCAGAACAAGAAGAACAATACTGCGGGACGGGACGAGATGGTCCTCGCTGCAGAACACAAGATCCAGGGGGCGTGGCTGGATCCAGATCCAACTACCGTCTCACTCTCCACCCCTAAACCTACCAATCTCCACCCCCTAGATGGATCCAACCACGCCCCCTTGGATCTTGTTGTTCTGCAGTGAGGGGCTACTGGACGGGACGCTTCTGTACTTCCCCGGATGCAACATTCTTAAATGGCAAAAGAGCGGAGTGCAGTGATTGGCTGAAATAATGTGTAACTTGGCGTCTACACTCCTTATATGGTCTTCCTCCGACAAACCCCTTCACTCAATGTTTGGACGCAGGCCCCGCCCCCACCATTCATCTGTGTATGTCTGTGTGGCCGTAGTAAGGCATGCGCAGTGCAGACGAGTAAAACGGACGGAATTCAAAGTTTCTGACGGTAAGTCCTTTGTTATTGTTACGAACTAGCAGTACGAATGTAGCACTTCGTTTTAATTGTACGTACTGTCAGTCTTGGAGCGTGTATAACATGTTGTATGTGCGGAGTTAGTGGTTTTACAGCTCGGTTATTTACATCAACAATGGGGCTTTGCGCGCTTGGATGTGGAGCGTGGCATGGTCGCGTGCTAACGGGCTAGCTGTTATTGTTAATGGGACGCGCGTTTTGGCGCTCTCGCACTGTGTGGAAGTTTGGACGGACGAGACGGTAGCGTTCAACCCGTGTTTTAACTGAAATATAATTCATGTGTGGTTTAGAAGCAACTTCGCGAACATTTGATTGAAGAACCCACGTAAATGTTAATTTACGACAGTTCTTCGTGTAACGTTACCCTTTTCCTTTTGGTTTCCATAGATGCAACCGTGCTGCGAATGAACTAATAAACCAATAAATAACTAATAAAAATAAAAAATAAACCAGAACACACTGTGTGTCAAATAAGACGGAGTAATTATTTTGTAATGTACGGAGTCTTCGTGAATGAGTGGCTCGTGGCATGTTTGATGTGGTTTTCAGACGTTCACGCGTTTGCATTGATGCGTCAAGCGCGCAGTGTGCGTTATGTTGTGCGTAACGCATATCGTCTGAGAGGCGTTTTTAAAAGTATTATTACCTTAATATTTGTATTCCAAATATGCGTTTTGGCTTTTCCGTGTCTTAAACTCTAAGAAGAGGCGCCCGTTTAATTGCACTTTCGATTTCACAACTGCTTCTGCTGTGACAGCATCACCTCTGGTCAAAATTCCGACAGGAATTCTTACCATAATTTGAAACGAATGCAACCGATTGTAAATAATTAAAGAATCTAATAAGATTTGAAAACTAGAAAAAAAAAATGGGATTATCCACTAGGACCGATTAAATTCCTGTTCAATATTGGTTCCCAATTATTGTACAAAATCCATTATTATAATTTTTTAGGATTTTCCAAATAAAGTAACGTATTTCAGTAAACACATGCTGCTGATCATTTTTCTCGTACAAGTCTAAGATCATGTGTTAAAGGTGGCTGCAGCAAAGGCTTTTGTCAAACATCAAAAGTAGGTCATTGCAGCAGACGCGACAGATTCAAACGCGCACGGTTCCAGACGCTTGCTTGTGATTCTGCAGTTTTTGCGTTACTTCTACAACATCAATGAACCGTGTGAAAGAGTGCAAGAATTCCTGTGACCGCCCCCTTCGATCCCCCGCGCAAACCGTGCAGGAGATCTTTGTTTTAATGACGCTCTCCATTCATGTCTAGAGCCCGTCAAGATGTTCGGCTTCCATAAATCCAAGATTTACCGCAGCAACGAAGGTTGTTGTATTTGCAAAACCAAGTCGTCCAGTTCTCGGTTCACGGACAGCAGCAGGTATGAGGAAAACTTCAGACTCTGCTTCGGGTAAGTGTTCTGTTTTCCCTTGATACCGCTTGTATTCCAGAAATTCCATAAGGAATGCTAGTGGAATTTCTGTCCAAATTTGGAGCCGGTCCTAATGATATCAACTGAGAATCCTCTTAGAATCAAATAATATCATACCGAATAAAACCATTGAAATTGGTTCCAAAAAAAAAAAAAAGAGAAATTCCATAAATTATTTTTGATAATGGGTAATACAATTCCAGTAAAATATTTGTTTACACATTTTTATTCCTTAATCCGAGTAATCGGTCCCGGCTAAATCACATATTGTGATCTAATTGATAGTCTGTCAGAGGGTCGGGTTGGAGACATCTGCAATGCTTGTGTGCTGCTGGTAAAACGCTGGAAGAAATTACCACAGGGATCAAAGAAAAACTGGAACCATGTAAGAGACCATTATGTTGTTTTTAATAGAATTATCCATTTCCTTACAGCCAATGTGAGAATAATATACTATTTTATTTATTGTTTTCCCCCAAGGTGGTGGATGCAAGGGCAGGACCTGGCTTCAAGCTGACCAAACCCAAGAAAGTTAAAAATATTGATGGAAAGAAGAAAAATAAACTGAAAAAGCTTCATAAATTCAAAAGACAAAGTGAGTTTCACTTTTGTGAAACAGATTTGTTCTTTTTAACACTGCGTGTGCACTTTAATTTTAAAGTTTTAGTAATTTTATTGGGTGTTTTTGTGATTTTTTTTTGTTTGTTTTATTATTTATTTTCTTTAAATTTCTTTTCTTTTTTTTTTAGTTTTAATTATTTTAGTACTTTGTTTTAAACAACGAAAATGAACTGCAAATGAAATATAAAATAGAATTAAAATACAAATGTATGTATACGCACATTAATATGTTTTGTATTTTTATAGGTTTATTATATTTTGTTTTTCAGTTGCAGCTCATTTTCGGTTACTTTAGTATGAAGATACCCCCTGAGCGCTTTGAGTGCCTAGAAAAGCGCGATATAAATGTAATGAATTATTATTATTATTATTATTATTACTAAAATAATAGTAAAAAAAAAAAAAGACAAAAACACATACAGACTGTAACAATGCTATGGTAAAAACCTGTTAATTAGTTAATAGTAAGTTCCATAATACTCAGTGAAAAACTGAAATATTTCCTGTAATTTTACAGGAAAATAATGTTAAATTAACAGTTTTTGGAAGTGGAAAAAATACATCTTACAGCTTTTGCAGATAGCATGTTAATGTTTGCTGTCATGTCTTTTACAGATTCAGATGCCCACAGCACCACATCCAGTATGTCTCCCTCTCAGTCTCCCAGCCACAGTAATCAGTCTGACGACGGGTCGGACATCGAGACCAAGCAGAGGCGTCCAAACCCATCGGGGTTCTCCTTTCTCGACCTGTCCTACTGGAAGAGGTATTGCTTTCCTTTTTTCTAATGCTAAATTAAGAGTTACCTGCTAGTTGTTGAGCTGATAAATAAATAACACTGTACTTAATATGCCTCAGGCAAAAGGTGTGCTGTGGGATCGTCTACAAGGGGCGTTTCGGTGAGGTGATCATCGATCCTCGTCTCTTCAAGCCCTGCTGTAACAAGAAGCGCCCAGCTCTGGCATCCTCCCCGGACTCTCAGATCTCACAAACACATCCTTCCCCTCTTCCAGAGGACATGAAGGAGGCATGGTGATCCAACTAAAACACCCTCCAAACTGTCTCGTTGAGGCCCTCATAGCTTTGTCTCCAGTGGTAGACTCTGGTATCTTCCCTTTGTTAGATTACTGTGTATGAGTTGAGTTTTCCCCTTGCTTTTGTATTTTTTATGACTCTTGTAAAATGTAAGTTTTGTACCTTTTTTTTTTTTTAATATATAACAGAAAATGAGAAAAATTTGGGCATTAGGACATATTTATAGGTCTGAGTTAGGAAATTAAATGTAATCAATTTTTTTATTATTACTGTAATTACTTTGGAGTTACCAGTGTTTTGTAAATAATCTTATTTTCCATACGAGTGCACCAAAAGACTTCTATTTGGCATTTAGTTTGACGGGTTACAGATGAATAATGTAAAGTGCTGTATCTAACATTATAGCCAAGGCATTAATGAGATGGGTGTACTTTTAAACCAATATAATATTTTACTCAGCCTTGCAGTCTTCTGCTCTGATTCAAGTTCAACTGTGGTCTGTTATATCACACACATGCATTTTCTGACTAGGATTCTTGAGCACAATATTCACAATGTGAATTCACCTCAGCGGTGGTCTATAATATGGACATGTGCTTGTAAAATCTCTTTTTCTTTCTGGTTTGGCATAAAGATGTTGCTCAGTATTTAAAAAATGGTTACGGGTTTGTAAATCTTTTTAAAACCAAGATGCAAAAACACATTATCTCAAGAGTATTTAAACGGTTATCATTTACACAATGGCATATGAAAGCATGCATAATGTATTTGTAGGCATAATCAGTTTTGTGGTTGTTGGTGGTGTTTGTATTTTATTTTTTGTTGTATGAGAGTGTTATAATATTGAAAGTAAGATATTACTGACTGATGAATTTCCGACCTGGCTTTACACTGTTTTTAACCACATTTTTCTATATTGTACACTAAAGGTAATCGAAGATGAAATTGTACAGTCTTTCAGCCTTGATGTATTGACTGCAGCCTTTTGTATGTTTTTTTCTTTCTTTGCTGTTTGGATTAATTGAAATATGACAGAATTGACTTTTTTTGAGGGAAAAATGTTTAGCAATATTATATGGAGTTTGCAATTGGATTTGGAAGTTCAAGATTTTGGTGTATTATTTGAATTAATGTTTGTTTTTATTCACCAGCAATTCTTTGCGTCAGCATTACTGTTGACTTCAAGCTCTTCTTAAAATGCATGAGAGCAAATACAAGATGTTGATAAATTTCAGGGAAAAATGTTTTTAACTATTAGTGTGGCACATTCTCAGTAAATGTGCCTTACCAGAGATTTAGCTGGTCATTTCATTAAGTTAATTTGTCATTTTTAACTTATGCTATTTATTCAAAGTTGTCTGTACAATTAATGCTGTAAAGAAGTTTTTGTGCACTTTCTTTTTTATACTTTTTATAATATTACCATTGATAAAATTTTGTATCTCAATTTTCCTCACATTGGTATTTTCATAAATGTTTTTAAAGTACATGTTTGTCTTGTTTGTCAGTGTTTTTAGTACAGGGTTCGTTTTTTTTTTTTTAAATTGGGGGTAAAAAAAAAAATTTTATTCTAATAAGGACATTAACTACAGGTGCATCTCAACAAATTAGAATGTCGTGGAAAAGTTCATTTCAGTAATTCAACTCAAATTGTGAAACTCGTGTATTAAATAAATTCAATGCACACAGACTGAAGTAGTTTAAGTCTTTGGTTCTTTTAATTGTTATGATTTTGGCTCACATTTAACAAAAACTTCCACGACATTCTAATTTATTGAGATGCACCTGTATTATGAATTGTGTTTTCTGAACCCTAGGTGGTGCCAAAATTGCATCTCTGAATGCACATAGACGCTCTCATGAAAGTTGTACTTTAATTAGACAGAGGCTTTCATTTAACAGCAAAGACCCCCAAATATGATGAATGATGATGAATATGATTTTTTCCACCCAGTGTTATAACAATTTTGGATTTATTTTATAGCATTTTTCACAATGTGTTTTACACAGAGCAGGGTCATAACTGCCAGTAGGAAGTTGATAGAGTCAGTGAAAAGATGTAAAACACAACAAACTATTCTGGAATATAATTACAAGTGATAGATCAACACATTTAGAAATAAATATACTATATGCAGATTCCCTTTAGCGCCCCCTTGCGGTCTCCCGGGCTCTGCAGACCCCAAATGTGTAAAATAATAATAAAAAGAACTAGAGTGAATTTTTGATGTAGAGTAGAGGGTCCACCTTCAAGCTCCACTGTGTGATGTGACCGAACAGCTGTTGGTTATCTTGCATTCACATATCCATTACTGTTGAAGCTGACCTGAATGGTGCCTTTTGATGAGCTGTGTTCCTCTTTCCGTGCTTGACATGTGAGAGTCAAATACCACACGAAAATAAAGACACCTAGAGGATGAAATGGACAGTATTAATGTCAGAGAATACAGGAGCTTCTGCTTCACATTGCCAATTTAGGGCCAAAAACCCAAATCAAATAAATAAACAACTGGCACTTCATGCAAGAGGTTTCAAATATGCATTGAAATTAATAATAAAAAAATGACATCAACATTTTTATTTTTGAACAAATGGTCAGTCAAAGGACATGCTTAATTATCATATTTTAGTTGTAAAGGAAAGGGAATTAATTTGAGTGTAGACCACGCTCTAAAACTAAGTAGCTAACAAACGATTGTCCTGGATGTCTGTAAATGGACTGGCAAAAACATTGTGAATCTTTTGAGTGTCTGCTGGTTTAAATGGATCTTGAGTCAGATTAATTATTTGTAGAGTACATTTAGTTTACACTTTAATGAAAACATTTGCAATTGTTCTGTAAAAGGTGCCATTATGACTATTTGGTCTGAGTTTTGGTTGCACTTACACAGCAGGTGCTGCCAGCGTGTGATGTTTTGAGCAGTGTTACTAACTTAAAGGGATACTCCACCCCAAAATGAAAATTTTGTCATTAATCACTTACCCCCATGCCGTTCCAAACCCCTAAAAGCTTCGTTCGTCTTCGGAACACAATTTAAGATATTTTGGATGAAAACCGGGAGGCTTGTGACTGTCCCATTGACTGCCAAGTAAATTACACTGTCAAGGTCCAGAAAAGTATGAAAGACATCCTCAGAATAGTCCATCTGCCCTCATTGGTTCAACCATAACGTTATGAAGCAACGAGAATACTTTTTGTACGCGAAGAAAACAAAAATAACGACTTTATTCAACAATTCGTGTCCTCTGTGTCTCTCCGCATCCCTGTAGCGCCATTTTGGAGAATATCTGCTGAACGCAAACAAAGCACATTGTGCCCTATTTTTTATAGACTTTTAGAGTGTAGCATACTAATCAATACACTGCTTAAAACTGTAATTGTTTAGAATACTAGTTAATGAGAAAATACATAAAATGTAAATGTTCAAAAATGTGTAAACTTCAACAATTCATTACTGTATAAAAAAATCTGATCATAGAAATCTTGTTTATATTACTTTTACAAATAAATTACAAATAAATACTTTTATGAACAAATCTAAATGAACATTTCAAATCATATTTTTTTTCTGAGATGGACAGTCAGTTTGCGTAATCATCATTGGTTTTTTTTAAGTTACCTTATACACTAAAGGGGTTGAACACAAGTACAAATTCATATAAAAAATATTAAAGTGTTTACAAACTTTCACCATTTTAATTGCATTTAGTTTCACAGAAAATTGTATTGTGTCGAGTAATGTACATTGTGTGTGCTACACAGTGACAGTTTTGTGTTGTTAAGTAATGACGTGATGGCGCAATGACATCACAACACATTTAGCAACTTTTAGCAACAAATCAACCTGCTTTTAGCAACTTCCAACTTGTTTTGGACATTTTGAGGGCATGTGGATGTGATGTGACAGGAAGTCATTGTCATATATAGGGACTGCTAAACAGAAATGTAGAAGTTTATTTTAAAGTGTGAAATATTACACACATGCACAAAATGTGTAAATACATTTTTAAACATTTCTAAAACATTATGTTGTAATGCTATACTATATTCATGATACTATACTAAGTTTTGTCTCACCTATCTAACATTTTTCACTCCAAAGTACTTTTTTTTTTTGCTTTCAGAAAGTGATGGGACAGGATATGTACCCTATTAATGAAAGTGACAGTTATGCATGATTGTACCTCATTAACACCTGCTTTTTTTTTCTTCAAATAACACTGTAATAAATTCTTACCCTGAAAACTGTTGAGAATGCTGAAAACATAGAGTGAAGGGAGACTCAAGAGGCCATGGGTGGAGAAAGCCAGGACCCAGGGCACTCCCAGAGAACAGCTGAGCCCGACTAGAGACACCCATTCTTTCCATGCCCTCCTCCGATGGTCTTTAATCTGAAGAGGTCGTGATCTTAATTTGTGCATCTTAACCAGCATCACCCCCAGCATAACCATGTTAAAGAGCATCACCAGCCCGAGATAACCATTCACAGTAATGTAGCTCACTATCTGTGTGCTTATCCAGCATCTGAACAAAAAGAAGCCAATGAAAACACTCCTGTTACAGGCCTGAGAGATGATGAAGTAAAAGTGCAGTGCGATTTTTTTATAGAATGACCTTACAGAGGTGTAACAGTTGAGCCTTCTTTATCTGTGTAAAATGTATATTTGCCATACACTTTAGTCACACCGCATATCATCACTGTAATAGTGGGTACACCTAAAGGAAAAGATTAATACAATAAAACATGCTTATACATGTTTAATTTCAATGTAATGATATTTAAAGATCAGTTCACCTAAAAATTGTCATCATTTACTTGCGTTTAGTTTTTACGTTCAGGGATAGAAAATATATAAACAGCTTGAATATTCAATCTCTGCATGTGGACATGAATTAAACGCCCCTTCCCGTTGACTGGTCAACCAAACATTAAATCGTGCAGTCATTAGATGTTTCCCAGTTCCGTGGAACAGAATAATAGTCCTCCACTGCTACACTTGTACGGATTCTTAGTGCATTTATTTCAAATACAGAGTTCTGGCATGAAACTCTAGATGGCGCAGTCCAATAGGTCTAACTCAATCTGACCTAATGACATCATTATCACATGGCCCAGCTGATTGGTTCTCTCCTGTGTCAGTAGCCAATGAGCTCGCTGCTCAACATTCAAATATATGACTAGTGCTAGCTGTAGCAGTTGCAGCTTGCTTCAGAAACCCTCCACCTTCCCCAGCTCCACCTGTATAGATCTGCTACGAGGTGATTCATGTATGCTATATGGGGGTTATTTCATGTATGTTATATTTGCAGCAGCAATATGTCTTACATATGCACAGCAGCATGTTGTGGATGTATTGGCAGTAGCAAGTCTCGGTACTTGCTCTGCCGCAGCAGCAGATCTATTCCGCCAAGACCACATACATTAACATTGTCATGTACATTACCATGCCAATCCCTCCGAGAGTTGTCATGACAGAACTATATTTCATCTCTTTATTTTCAAACAACCAGGCTAACGAATGGCTTGACACAAACCGTACCGGGGCAGAGCCTAGACAAGGCTTCTGTGTAGGCATAAATTCAGCAACCTACCTGAGAAATATTTGTTTATCTCATAAATATTAATTTACTAAGCATTTGCACCCACAACTACCCCAGCCTACATCCCTGGCATATCTCCTGTTTTATTCAGCTGACCAACTATCAAAATCTGTGTGGCAAAGCTACGTGACTCACTGGACAGCACAGAGCGAATGCAGTTTGCACTGTAGTGGAGCGCAGACCAGTATCGATTTAAGTGTAAATAGATAGCAGTCATAACATTTGTTTCAGACAATTCTCTGTGTTTTGGACAAGAGATGAATTTGAAATGATATAGATATGTAAAGATATGACATTATTTCATATCAGTGTAGTTTACGGTAAAATCTATTATTATTATTTTTTTCATTGTTAAATTTTAGGGGTAATGTTAAATAGCCATTATAAAATAGGATATAACTACTCTCAGTTACAAGAAGATACCAAAACCCTGAAATAACTATGCACCCTCGATGCGCACTTCTGCCGAGGCCGCACTGGGGCGAGCTGTGCAGCAGACTTCTACCCGACGGTCAAAGCGGCATTACGTCACAAAAGTGTGGACTCAGAGGAAGACCGCAAGGGTTTAGGGTGCGATTTGGGACAGGGCCCTATACTATTTGTCTTTGGATCACTCACTCAAAGATGCATTAAAAGACTCCAACTATGCGCGCTATGCTGAGAGTTAGTCGCACAGCAGTTCTGTGATTTTGCTTTGGAAGTTTAGCTGGCAAAGAAAATAAAACACCATTTTGTGTGATATCAGTTAATACTCAATATTAATTAAATAAACGCAGAGTATTGTCTAAAACAAAAGTTATGACTGCTGCGTATTTACACTTAAAGCGATACACTTAAAATAATACACTTCACGGTCCCACTTTATATTAAGTGGCCTTAACTACT